AACCAATCCAGCATTTAATATGTGGAAACATCATTCTTTGCAAGCTGGTTATCCTCCACAACAAAGTTTACCAATTTACATGAATCAACCAGGTGCAACATCAATGATGAATTATAATACTTCACCAAGCAATTGTCTCCCACAACCAACTTCTAACCAACTCAACACCACTCCAGCTACCAATGATGTATCATATAATACTGCACAGCAAATGCAAGCTCAGTCATTGGATTTTCAATCCCTAGCCATGCAAGCATACATGTATCAGTATTGGGTTAATCAAGGTGCTATTCCACCATTGGCCAATCAAATGCAGTACCCACTTGGTGAATTGACCAATCAAAATTCTCAAGTTCCAGTGTCTTTCAGTCAGTCATCTACTATTGGGAAACAGACTGATATGACATCATTAACAGGAACCATTCAGAACCAGTTACCATCCATGCATCAAATGTATGTAGCTTCACCAGATGATCTACAAGTTCAGCCAGGTGCACAGAGCTCAGCCAATCAGATCAAATATCAACAAAATCTACTGTCATCATCCAATGATGCCCCATCAAATGAAATGAAGCAAGGAAACATGCCACCAATGTCCAATCAGATGTTGCAGCCACAGAAAATTCCAGGACAACAATCAAGCTCCCAGGTGATAGGAGCCAAGAACAGCTATCCACTCAGTGAGCCCACTCTACAAAGTTCTCGTACTGGTGATAGCAAAACAACCCCAATTTCCAGTATCTCAAATTCACAAGGTTGTAACAATCCAAATCAAGCAGGAGAGTCAGTTGCAGGACATCTGAGAGTGAGAAATGCTAGTGAATGCATAAAATCCTCACAGAATCCTCCTCTGTCTCGGTCAGAAGCATGGTCTAATAAGCAACCACTTGATGTGCATAATCAAATGACATGTAATCAGGCATATCCAGTTCAGCAGAACCATGTGAGCTCATCTGGCTACATTGGCACTCAGAATGCATACAGTATGTCCTATCAGCAGCAACAAACTGGTGGGCCACATTCTATCGGGCAGAATGTACAGTTTAGAAGTGTGGCACCTCAAGAAAAGTTACAAGATTTTCAAAACTCTCGCTCATACCCATGGTGTAAGGATAACCTGTCAAGTGGATTGATTCAACATCCTGGAAGCATGGGATGTGGTCCTGATACTGGTCTGTTAACAGACTACACCTCTTTGCCAAATATACCACAGAGTGATCAGTCTGCCAATACAAATACAGGATGCATATTTTATGAGTTGAAAAGTAATCGGCCACATGCACTGTATCAAGTTTCTACTTGTGCTAGCAGTGAACAGCAGTTTGAAAACCGGCATGTGTATTCTCGTATTCGTCAACCTACCCTGAGCCAGTCTTTGAAAGATATTATGAACTATGCAGACAATCAACAAACTGAAATAAAAATGAACCGCTCATCTAAGCCACCTTTGTCAACTAGATATCAGCCAGGTGTACGGACAACTTCAGCCAATCAGAAATCCATGTTGCCAATTATTAAGCAGGACAGTAGCCAATCTGCACGTCCATTCAAGGTCTCTATGGGCACTGATCGAAGTTGCATTAATCAACAACCTCCACTAAATGGGACATCACCAATTAATGTTGCTCTACGTGCACAAACACAGAGTACAGATGTTCCCACCTCATCATCTGTTTATACTCCTAATCTAATGAAAAACCAAGAATTCAACAATGGTCCTGCAGCCAATCGTGCTTCAGGTCCATATCATGTGACAGGAGTTACTCCTGAATATTCAACCAATCATGTGCCAGTAACGAGTCAGGCGCCAAGGGTCAATCCTCCATTTTCACCAAAGTCAAGTAATAATGTTGCAGTAAGTAAAATATCAACTCAAGCACCTGGATCCAGACCACTTTTACAGCATTCCACACTGCCAACCAGACCAGTCTCTAATGCAGTGCCAATTGTTAACAGTGGTACTCTCCAACACAGCAGTCAGATTCAGCCTGGTGGAAGTCTTCCAGTTTTATCTGATGTTGGTGCTAGTGGTAGTGCAAAATGCCAACAAACCACACATTTACCGTTCAGTATGAGCAGCAACTTTCTCCCAACCTGCCCAGTATCACTTGATCCTTCCAAAAAACTTTCAACAACCAATCCAAAACTGAGTAATGCCTTTCCACTCTCCAGTGGGACTAGTCCAGTGTCTGCTGAATTAAGCACCAACTATCCGTTAACAAGTCAGCTAAAATTGCAACCAAATGTACCAGTGCCTCCATTACCAGCAGGGGATGATGAACTTCTGTTCAGTCTGCTGGAAGATCCTGAATATATGTCTTTGCTGGTAGAATTCATTAGTATCACAGCAAAACAACCACTTGACAATATGAAAACAACTTCTCCTAAATCCTTATCGAAACCAGTGATGAATGATTCAACTAGAGAAGCAAAACCCTCAGCATTGAAGAGTATACCAGCACGTTCTCAGAAGAAGACAACTGCAGTTGTCACAGGAAGATCAAGAGAACCTGTTGGCAGACCATTGAGTACCCGCACAACAGCAGTTTCACACCCCATCACATTAGCTACAGCTACTACAATACCCTCCATTGCAGGTGCTGTTGAATCTGTGTCCAACGCAGAACAAACTGTATCTTCTGCGGCATTGACCACTACAACAGCTTCTGAATTCTCAACAAGTTTGTCTCCAGTAATACATGGAGCTTCAGTAGAAACAGTTGCAAATACTCCTGAGCCTGTTATGGCTATATCTACCCAAGATGCACCAGACGCTATTACTGAAAGACCAATTCAAGGTGCTGAAGTAGCAGTGAGACCAACTGGGTTGGACATTAGACCAACTGAGGTAGAAACAAGACAAAATGGGGTGGCAATGAAGCCAACTGAGGCAACAATGAGACCAACTGGGGTAGCAGCGAGGCCAGCAAGACAGAAGAGTGATGAAGTGCAACCCATGTCAGCTCCAGTACCTACATCCCTATCCATGCCACCTTTACTGCCATTTGTTTCTCTTGCTGCATCAGAGGAGAGTGATAGAGTGTCAGAAGAGCTGACTACGGATTCTTCACCTGTATCTGACAAGGCTGATGATGCATTATCCATGCAAGAACAAACAGATAATGCTCAAACTTTAAATGTGAATGAATCAACTGAGAACCATGCACCTTCAGAGGAAAGTGAAAGAATGTCTCAGGAGCTGACTCTGACATCTGCATCTGTATCTGTAGCTGTAGCTGAGGATGCAATTTCCCTGCAAGAACATTCAGATGCTGTTCCTACTTTCAATGTGAAAGAATCATCTGAGGACCATCCACCTTCAGAGGAATGTAAAAGAATGTCTAAGGAGCTGACTCCGACATCTGCATCTGTATCTGTAGCTGAGGATACAATTTCCCTGCAAGAACATTCAGATGCTGCTCTGACTTTCAATGTGAATGAATTAACTGAGGACCATCCACCTTCAGATGAAAGTGAAAAATTGTCTAAGAAGCTGACTCCACCACCGGCATCTCTTACTGATGACACTGAGGATGTGTTATCCATGCAAGAACAATCAGATGATTTTATAGTCCACTGTAGCTTGGCTACTGGAAAAGAGAATGTTAACACCTGTCAAACAGTCATCGATGTAGATAAGAGTAATGAGTATCAGGCAACTTTGCCAAACCTTGCAGTAGATGTTGTATTTGAAGCTGATGGCCATCCTGATTCTTCAGAAGCTGAATATGGACCAGTCACTACATCTTCAAATGTTGCGATATATAGTGCTTCATATGAATCAAATTATGCAAGTCATGCGACAGAACAATCTGTAAGTGAAGCTGACATGAATGTTGAAACATCACCCCCTGTTGATACTATGACAACTGAAGAACTAATAATGCCTGAGTATATTGCAGGTGAAGTTGCACTAACATCTGAGGCTTCATTGTCTGATAAGGTTCCGAGGGACCTTGAGATGGATGATGATTCACCATCAGCTGCTCCCGCCATTCAGTCGGTAATGGCAACCCCTTCTGATAGAGATACACTAGAGTTTGCTGAAATTATGGCAGATGTAGCAGATGATCAGCCAGTTGCTGATGCACAGGCATCTATGCCTAGTCAAGCCACTGCAAAAGACTTTACAGAGATCAGTTTAGACAAGGAAGAGACTATAGAGAACTCTCCCAGAGAGATGATACCTGCAAGCATTGAAGTTGCTGATGAGAAGGGTGGATGTTCTGCTACAGAGCATAATCAGTTCCTGGATGATCCTGTGAAATGTCTAGAGGATGAAGAATGGGATATTTTAGAAGATAAAGATTGTAAGGTCATTATTCCTGATGATACAGAAGACTTTAAGAAAGAGATGCCTGAAATACAGGTAATCTCAGTATTATTCGCATAATATTGCGTACATACATTTATATGCATGCATGTTCAATGTACCTTATAGTTCATTCATTTATTTATTTATTTGTTTATTTAAGTTCTTCAATGATAAACATGATGAAAGTATGAAAAAATAAGTCTACATAGTGGTTCAATAGTAATGATAAGAATGAAATCAAATGACAAAACTTCAACAGTTTGGCATATTGTGTGTTCCGTATTCTGTATGATCTACTCTTGGTTTTTACTTGCTCTAAATCAGCTGTTCCAATGTATGATCTAGTCTTGGTTTTTACTCGCTCTAAACCAGCTGTTCCAATACAATCAAGGCTGCCTAAGCTTTAGATTTCCAGTCATTATGAGCAGCACAATGCATGTTGGGTATTGTTGTCAGTATATTAATATTTATTACATCTGAAAATGGATAGCATCTTCTGTAATATTAATTTTCTGAAAAATTATGATTACGAAAGTACACATGCCACTTCTATTAGTGTCAACACAATCTCTGCTCTAAGCAGTTGATCATAACTTGTTTTCTATTTCAATTTCACTTAAAATAAAAGTTTTAGCAATACAACAACAGTTGCTTCTGGGTAGATTACTTTCTGATGATTCCATATATTAGGTGATATTTTTTCTTTGATAAATTTCTGTATATGTTTTTCAATCTCATCAGTACTGAATACTTTTTTTTGTTTTATTTCTCATCCAGACATGTTTGCAGTTCACCAGACACGGCAGACAGGTACATGTATTTGTACTTTTTCTTTCATTTATGCCTGGCAGAAGTGTGTTGGGTAGAACCTGTGTTTTTTTCCTTGGCTTGGCTTTTGCTTGCATTGTCCTAACCTGGCATTACTGGATTTAAGTAACCTCTTACAATCCTTTTAGACTCCTAGATTAGTATGTTGAGCCAGTTTTTCAATATGTTATTTTCATATTTTATAATTAGTCTGTTTCCCCTTAAGATAGCAACTTAGGATATTCCCATTAATTGATAGATCTTATTTTAATAGACCTTTTTTCGTTCACTACGAGATCCCGCGTTATGCGTGAAATCAAACGTAAAAACAAAGGTCATAGCGTCGTAGTGGCGACAAACATCGCATGGGATTCGACAAACACGAAAGTATTTTGGGGAATATTTCCATGCTTAATAATGTGCTGTACACATTTGATGATGGTCAATTTCGATGAAGTAAGGGTATTCAAACGCAATATTTCCCTGTCAAAGATCGGCCTTTCGATGTGAGCTACGAAATAAAGAAATTCAAGCTCAAAATCAAATTGTTTGATTTTTATGACAGACGCATCTTTCACGCAACTCATGAGATCTCGCAGTTGAACGAAAAATCACCTATTAAACCAGTGTATTTATATATTCTAGTTACATGTGCTGTTTCTGACAGGTTGGTCTGAAACACAATTCATTAAAACAATTTTCCTGGTTGCTATCTTTTAGGAATGATGCTTTGCCAACTTATAATACATACATGTATACATGCTGCTATCTATTTATATTCTTTCACTCTGACCATTGTTGACCATCAATCATGTAAACTCTGGACACTCTGATTTTTATTTTAAGGTCTTTATACCTCTATTGTTGTAGTCCAACATTCAGTAGTCTTTTATTTGGTGTAACATTCATATTTTTCATACATGGTACCATTTCCACTGGTTATCAGGTTGGTTGTTCTATTTGCAGCACTTCTTTAATGTATTGGGGTATCAAGGTAGCAAACAAACTGTCAGTACTTCAGCTTAATTAAAATTTGTGTCAAATTTGCGAAAATGTCATGCAACTATTTCAAATTTTTTTACAGTAATTTTACAAATTTAGAATCCCATATTATAATGTACATGAACATGTAAGATGCTACCGAGAATATTAAAGTTTATATTCTTAGTAGGTGCAAGTAGAGCGCCCTCAGTGGTGACATTATAAAATCTATGTGACCTTCAGATGTCATAGATTTTGGTGGTCTGAACAGCAGCAACCCCTCCAGTATCAGTGATTTACTTTTATCATGAGACGACCATTGCTGTCTATTTGAGTTCCAAGCATTGCTTTCGCATTGATGGAACGTATCGTCGGGGAACCGTACGTATCATATCGTTGCGGGGGATTCGAAAGCAAGGCTAAGAATGCAAAGTAGTGAACAGTGGCCACCGCATGATAAAAGTGTTTTAGATTTGTATAATGTCATGGAACATGTCCAATTTAGAGATTCAAAATAAAGCAATTCACCTTTCTATATAGAAAGATTTTAACAGGAACTGGTCATTGCTGTATGTTCTTGGTAACTCCAATCACTGGTTTTTTAATTCTATCTACAGCTGGGTATGTCATCTACACATTTTACCATATGTACCGTATGCTGTTTACGCCACTCTCTGTCTCTTTAACTGCATGATTGATTCATTGATAGCATCAACACTTCCCCTGCAGGTTTATAGCAGTTTATCCAGCATTCTACTACTGTAGAATACTTTATTTTCGCTATTTTCTCTGAAGGGATGATTTTGTGAAAATAAAACCCAGCGAATATTCTTTTTTTCCTATATTTCACATTCAACTTATCAAAAATCAGTGAAAATAAATGCCTTTTCAGCGAAAATTGTTTCCAGCTAAAATAATGTATTTCACAGTATTTAACTAATACGTTTATGTACAAGATCCAAGTGATTATTGTATCCCAGTTACATCTAATACACATGTGTCTATGGTGTGTTTTAGTACCCACATATTGGTAGTATGCTTAGACTGCGAACTTTGCAATCTTGAATTTCATTTCCTTGTGTTTCATCTAGTGTGTATTGTAAAGTTCACTGCACACTAATATCCGCATGTTTTATACTACAAGGCGTCTGATATTGTCATGGTTACATTGTTTCAGTAACTGTGAAAAAATAGAAAAACAGTACAACCATATCCTCAGATGTGTGTGTATCCCATGTGGCGTTTTTTTGAAAAAATATATAAATACAATATCAGAGAGAGATTTACACAAAAATAAAAAAAAATGCCAGTTGTTCAAAAATGCATCATACTTCCTTACAAAGGCATAAAATTCAGAAAACAGTTGAGAAATAACTTTACAATTTTAATTTTTTCCAAATATTAAAATTATACTAAATCGACTTCAATTTTATTAGGTTTATTATTTTTATTATTCATGATTGTGAGTTTATGCAAATCATATTTCGGGATAATTAATTGATTGTGAATAATGTGAAACCTCATATTCAGAGCTATCAAGGCTATCAAAGTTGTATGCAGCTTTGCTCATGCTTTTTACAATAGGAATATTTAATGATCATGGTTAGAACCAACAAAAAATATTTGCATCTTCCAGAAATGAAAGTGTAACAAAATTACTCTTATTTGAAGGTTTTATGGTACTTAGAAAACATTTATTTTATTCATATTTATTGTGTTATCTCTGTTGTGATTTTTTTTTTAGAATACAGACATAATGGTTAAAAATGTTGTATTTTTCTTATCTGTTGATATCTCTTTTGTTCTAGGTTTTGGTTGGGGATCTTCCCGATGACTTCCTGAGATTTGAAGCCACACAACAGCAGACTCAGATGACCTTAGATGAGGAGACAGCGAGGGCGTTACAGTATCAGCAAACAGGGTGGGCAGGAGTGCATCAGCCGAATGTTTTAGGCAGACTTAGTATAACTATTGCACAGGTAATTAACAAAATACTTTCATGGGTCAAGCTCTTTTCATTGATATTAATTGTGGAACCAGAAATTTTATTCATCAGATCTGTAGATAACCAAAATGTTTTTTCACTCACTAGATGGAAATTTTCATCTCTAATATTTCATATCAAATTTTGTTTTTCTCGTTTCAGGCCAAATTAGCCAAGAATTATGGTCTGACAAAAATGGATCCTTATTGTCGTATCCGTGTTGGTCATGCAGTATTTGAAACTCCGACAGCTCATAACGGATCCAAAAATCCACGATGGAATAAAGTCATCCAGTGCAACTTACCGCATGGTGTAGACTCATTTTACTTAGAAATTTTTGATGAGGTAGGAATTCATATATTAGCATATCTTCACCATATATGGTAAACATGTTTTTGTAATCACTTCATATATTAGCATATCTTCACCATATATGGTAAAAATGTTTTTTTTAATCACTTCATATATTAGCATATCTTCACCATATATGGTAAAAATGTATTTTGTAATCACTTCATATATTAGCATATCTTTACCATATATGGTAAAAATGTATTTTGTAATCACTTCATATATTAGCATATCTTCACCATATATGGATAAGCAGTTTAACATGACAGAAATGAAGAAAGACCAACAATACCCCCCGAAAGTGCCAGGATGTGTGACCTTTAGGGGTCCTGTATGTGGCATAATTGCTGCTATGTTGTCATGCAGTACGAATTAAAATTTTGTATAAATAAACAAATCAGTGTATCCATCATGTTTGATCCGTATGAAATGTCATACAAAATGTATGATACACAATTTAAAGTGCCATAGCCACCACGTATGTTTCAAGTATTTTACATCAGTTATGTATGTCACATGGGAAACCCATATTGAACATACAGCAATGCTGTGATTTAAGCTTATTGTTTTATTTTATTTTAGAAATCATTTACAACCGATGATCGCATTGCGTGGGCGCACGTCACAATCCATGAGATGGTTCTTAACGGCGAAACCAAAGATGACTGGTACACACTAAGCGGTAAACAAGGCGAGGATAAAGAAGGGATGATCAATCTAGTTCTTACTTTCAATGTGAGTACAAGATGTTATAAATCAATAACAATTATATTCTCAGAAATTAGGTTGGTTGGAAGGGGTCGCACGGAGGTTTTAAAATGTTCTATCAACCATGTATTAAGCCAAAAAATAATCTATTTCTAGTCTACAGTCCAATGTGGTAATGTGATTTTATTTTTCTATGGAACATCAAGAAAGTAGATCCTGCACATGCAAGAACAAGATTTTGCAACATCAACGGCAGGCGCCCTCGTTGGACAAAATACTGAAATTAATATATCTTTACAATTTTATTTATTTTCGAAAATATAAATATATATTTCAAAAAAATCAGATGATTGAATGGGTCATGTTTAACACTGTTGCAGAGGACTTGGATTGGAAAATATGTGCTCCAAAAAATTACCAAAAATGCAGAGAAAAGTTTAGTATGTGGATATTTTGTTAAAAATACTATGCAGTGTTGACACAAGAAAGAAAATAATTCTACATCAGTTTCCAACCTACCCACCCCTAAAAAATAATGGTTCACTCCTTAATTGCTTTAATTAAGAATGACTATTTCTCTAATGTTGAAACATAATTATGGCAATCAGATCTCTATTATTGTAAACCTCCCAGCCAGCTGTTGCATTTTAATATGTTTATATGTGAGCATGAACTTGAATTGCAACATTTGAAAGTATACTTTCAACCCATTGTCAACCTTGACACTTTCAAGCCACCATTGTCATTTTTCACAAAATAGTTCTGCTTAAAATATTTTGTTTGAAGTTTGAAAAAAATTGTTAAAAAAAGTTTTTTTTTCACTGTAGATAAGAATTTTTTTAATTTTTTTTTGGCAGCCACATCCGCAACCGCCACAAGGTGTTGTGTATCAACAGCGGCAGTCAGGTACACCGATGTACATGGTACCACAGCCCATGTTTTATGGAGGAGTACCATATGTAGTGCCAGGTAAGATGAGCTGTCTCAGATTTAGTATCAGTGCGCCCTCTAAAGGATTAATTTTGTAAGGATTTTGAGTCAAAATGCAATACATCATTTTTTTTTAAATTTTCGGAAATTTTATTAAGACTTGTAGCCAAGAGAAATTATGTCAATTTGAACCAACAGTATGAAAAGTAAATATAAAAAATATGTAAAAACAGACAATATGTTGAATCAATATTTTGTCAAGAAAAATTATGGCCCTCAAAGGGTTAATTTGATTAATTTTTCAGGGGTGAGAAAAATTAAAACTATACTTTTTGAGTGATTAAATTGTGGATTTGTATCAGTGATAACATATGGTGAATTAACACATTGTCTGCTAGAGGGAAGGGGGGAGGAGGCAGCAGGCAATGTGTTGAAGATGTCAAGATGGGGGGTAATTTCAATCTGAGAAATGTGAAAACAAAACACAGAAAACACCCAAAAGAGTGTCAATATGAAGACGCTTAGTGCAGTGGTTTATTGTACTGATTGTAGACATTTCCTGACAACTGGTTCCTTTGCTAGTTGTAAATAAAAAAATATTGTGTATAAATCAAGTGCTTTAAACTCATAAAAGGATTACAGGTGTCATCAGTGCATGCCTGCATGGTAAATCACGTGATGAACACAGTGATGACATTAGAAATGTAAATATTCAATTTGTTTGCCTTGCGAACATGACTAAAACTGGTCTACTTTGTTCAGTAGTTGGTAATTTCACACAACACTAATATTACATGTGTTTTGTGTTCTGTCACTTGTCATTTTGTGTTAGACCCAAAATTAGGAAATATTGGACTAAACTATAACAGCATGAAATAACAGAAAAAACTCTCTCAGCATGGCGAAAAAACACAACTTTCTGCGATGTTAAATGTTGCTTTACTGTTATAGGGCTAAGGTCACCATTATAAACAATTTCACTGAAAAAGCTTTGTTTCCAAAAAGTATGGTCAATTTAAATGAATCATTAGATTTCAAATTAGGTCGCAAACTCCATCAAATCCAAAGAAATAAAAATTCTCAATAGTGTACAATATGACGTCATCCAAAAGACAAATGTACACGTTATTTTAAATTCCCATGTTATGTGCCATAGCATGAGACTTTTATTCTGGTCTTTAAGGGCCCATGTTTTGTGGCCCAGCATGAGCCTTTAAAGTGCCTGTGAAATGGCTGCTATTTTCACACCTAAAATTATCATTTGATACATAAATATTATTAATTTTTATGTTTTTAAGCATGAATTATTTTTTTTTAGGTGAAAAAATGTGTTTCAAACTCAGTCTACGGCAACTTTATTTTTGTGTATTTTAAAACGAGGCTCCTCATTAGCTTCTCATTTGCATACAGAAATTCCCCTTGTGACGTCAGAAGGGGAAGTCGCATGGTAGCTTGCATTGCCGATACGTGTAAATAAGGCAAATTTCTTGTGCAGTTTTCTCGTCTTTGACTAAATTGTCACTTATGTACTTGTTCGTTGAGGAAGAATTGACCATAATGAACACATAGTATCATTTTTTGTTGCATGGGGTTGACTTAGATGCGAAATATGTCCGTTCTGGTGTAGCTGGTCACCGTGATCGTCACGGACACCGGCGCACGTTTGTACACTGTCGCTGAACAAATAGAATTTGACGTCGGAATTATCTCATT